CGATACAAACCGGCATCTGATCGTTCTCCACCGGTGCCTAGCCACTTCCGTCGGAAGCCTGAGGCTTCCGGCTTTCCCCCGCCATTTTTTTTTTAAACTAAGCGATATGCGCTCAGGCGAACCTTCGCCCTGAGCGTTTGTTTATATATAAAAAAAGCCCTTACTTTACCGTCCCGGAGGAGTCCGGGACTACAGGGAGGCCAGGTTGGGGTTTAAACTTTAAAGGTAAGTGCTTACCTTTAAAGTTTAAATGTAAGGGGGGGGTTGAGCATGCGCAAAAATCGCCATTCTCCGAATGGCTGCCTGTGCGCATGCTCAAACTGCTTTAAAAAAACCCAAACAAACGCCGACGCCCGCAGCGTGTGAGCGGGCGTCCAACGGAGGCATTCGCAAGATGGAGGGTGAGTCTGATCGCGTTTCTGCCGGTTTATGCCGGCAGAAAGGCCGCGTCTGAACGCACCCAGAGGGAGACAATGGCAAGTCACCTCTCAACGTCTGTTGCCTTGAAAACTCTATGACCGATTTCACACAAGAGCTGAGCCACGGTCGCATCCCCCCCCCCTTTGCCCCGCTTCTATTGGTCAATTTCCCACTCAAAGCCGCACGGCTGCATTTTGACCGGCGGCTTTGCCCGATTTTTCCTGCGGTTTCGTGGTCCTGTTTTTTGAGGATCACGAAACCATGGGGGAAATCGGGCAAAGCCGGCGTCACAGCAGCACGAAACAGATTCAACCTTTCTCTATGCTTGTTTGAACGTTGTTTGGAGAAGATTCTTTTAAAGCAGTGAAGAGGTGCAATGACAGTGGAGCCGCCACGAAAGGACGATAAACATATGCAGACATGCAAAAGTATGCTAGCACTGTTGAGGTGTGAAAACGACACCAAATGTAGACAGCTTTTTAAAAGACGGTGTCAGAAGGCTGGGACACCGGTGGGAAAGACAAATGCAGATTCGACCTCTGACGAATGGACCTTTGACCCTCGAAAGCTCACACCCTTAGTGAAGCAGTGTAACGAAAACAGTTGTGCCCCTTCTTCCCCTATTTACCATGGAAACCCTTTTCCCCCCGCCTCCAGGGTGTGGAGTCAGAGGGGTTCCCTGTACTGCAGCAGTCGTTAAACATTGGCCAGCCTGGCGACGATCGCTCCCAAAGCATCCAGCCCTTTTACAGAGGTGAGAGAGTCCGACTCCTTTTTAGAATCAGTATTGGAATTTGTATACCCAGGTTTTTTTAGGCTGTGTCTGTTTTCAATTGTAGATTCTGTTATTTGGCTACATTTGGTTGCATCACACATTTGTTATGATATGTGCGGTATAGTGGGAAAGTATGGAAAACTATTCTATTGTTCTCATTTCTGTTTGCAAACCGTCGGAAAAATTAATGGCTATATACCCATTTCCTTTTTGTTGTGTGTTTCTTTAACATGCAGATGTGAGCGGACCTTGTTTTGCTTCCAATTCTTTGCAACTGACTGAAAAATTTGTCGATAAAGTTGTAACAGTGAGGTAGGTACAGGAAATACAGTAATGACACGAAGACTGTGGTCTTGGTTAGGCTGCCACTTATCCGTTTCAGTGGGGGGGGGACACCTCTCAGCGATGCTTCCGTCCCCCGTCCGTGCTCGGCTGAGTGGTGGTGGGAAATGGGGTTGGTGTTGATTGACAGCAGGATATTCATTCCTGTTTCAGAACAGGAAGCAATGTTATAATGCTCTAGGAATGTTCAGATCTCTATGATAAAAACCGTAGAGACTTGGGTATTCCTAGAGTGTTATGTCACTTCCTGTTCTGAAAGAGGCATATAAGGAATGGCATCCTTATTCTTTTCTAAGTTCGGTATTTCCGACAGGAAAGCCTGACGATTTAAACTTACATGCATCATTCACAATGGATGGCACAAGATATATAATGTAGGGTTGCCAAGTCCCTCCTGGAAACCAGCGGGGGATGGGGGAGACTTACCAGGAACAGCAGGGAGGCCCCTCCAACATACAGTGACATGTTTATGGCACTGCCCGTATGACCCAGAAGTGGGGCCATCATGTTTAGGACATCAGGGTGCCAAGTGGCACTTACCCTGCTGGGAGGGACTCCCGATCGTATCCCGGCGCGTGCCATAGAGTTTTCCATAGAGTTTTCCCTTGTATGGCCATGGCCCCGCCCCCAGCGTGCCCGGCGTCATGACGTCACTTCCCTGTGATGTGCACGCTGGGGCGGGGTTCCCCCCGGGGCCTGATTCCCCGGCGTCGGGGAACGGGCCTCTGGGGCGGGGAGATTTCCGCCCCCCAGGGGACTTGGCAGCCCTAGGCAAAAAATCGATGGTAAATTTGGCTTCTACCATAGAGTTTTCGCCCAAATAACAAAGTGTTGCTTTGACATCCCGGATGTGATAACGTCACTTCCGGTCATGTGAGCAGTGACGTAGACACGTCACTGCCAATGTTCCCTCTAAGCTGTGGAGTCTTGTGAGCAAAAATTCTACTGTGTGAGCTCCTGGCATTAAAGTGGTGAGCGAGCGATTTGGCTGCTGCATCAATTAGTCTGCTCTGGAGCCCCATCCTGAGCTAAGACAAAAATGTGTGAGCCAAAGGCTAAAAAACTGTGAGCTAGCTCACACTCACTCAGCTTAGAGGGAACACTGGTCACTGCATGTCAGATGGATCTCCCTCTTTTTCTGGGTAAGTCCCTGCCTGAGAGCCAGCTGATTGGTGATGAGGAGTTGAGGCCTGGCAGCGGGGGACCCCTGACTCCACTGGGGCCTCTGGCAACCCTAACGTCACGTGCCCGTTATACTCAGGCACCTCTTGTATCTGACTTTAAAAAAAATTAAAACGTGAACCAATGTTTCTGGAGGTGACTAGAAGTCCCCTTTCAGCCCTTCCAATGATGTGTCCCTTCAATGTGTGCTGTTCCTTGCTAGGCCACATGGATGGCTTCCTAAGGGAAGTACTAGAGATAGTGAGAAAAAGATGTCCGTCTTTTCCTAAGACACAATTTCTTTCAGTTGGGCTGCACGACCACCAGGCAGTTTTGTTGTTGAGCGTCTAGGACAGCAACAAATTTGTGTTGGTTGGCAGAGCCGATAGGATCAAATGGCAGAGTGGACAAATGAGACATTTAAGGTGCTGAAGAAGGAGAACGGGACTTGGGGCACAGTTGCCAGCTCCGGGTTGGGAAATTCCTCGAGACTAGGCTTGCCAAACCCCCGCCGAAACGGCCCCCAATCCGCTGGCGGGGATCGGGCCATCGGGGGGGACCCCACCTCCGAAATGGCTGGATCAGGCCTAGAGATGTAAAATTTCCGGAAATTTTGAAGCTCGGGAAAAAACCCATTTTTTTTCCCAGAAAAAAATGGAAATTTTCGGGAAAATGGGGGAAAATGCTACATTAGCATTTCTTTTGTCTTTTCTAGATTGAAAGTCATTCTGTTACTTTAGGAACATAAAATATGACTATGGACATTTTTACTTGGCATGAAATTATCACAACTAGCATATTAAAAATAGAGTGTGTCCAAACAATTATTGCAAACAGAATACCCAACCACATGCAAAAACAAAACTGAAACTTTTTTACTTTCTTCTGACAATCGCACCTCCTAAAGGAAGAAATGCATCTTGTTCTTGCATTGGAGAGTTCAGTTTGTAACCTAGGACTTGCTTGTCCTCAGTGCACAGAAATTAGATCAATCAGATACCATATATATATATTTTAGAAATGATTTGGAAAATATTTGAACACCTGGTCTTAAAATATTTTATTCATCATGTTAAGATAAAACGTTCCATAATCAATTTCTTTTCTTTTCTTTTTTCAATTTTTCCAATCCAATTTTTCACAAAAAAACCAAAAAAGGCTTCAGGAAAAAAA